GGGTTACTTGAACATAAAACGCAGAAGTGTACAAAAATATAAAAGAATAGTTTTAATAGTCGGAATACAGAAAATTTCCACCAAGTTCACGTCTAACAAACAGTACATGCAAAAACATAACGACAACTATTGAAAGAAAAAAAATCTATCCCATTGGCAGCTATACTGGCATAAATTAAAACAACAAAAAACCTTTAGAAGTGTTGCACCTCCACCCTCCCCCCTTTAAAACCCCAGTTCCATCATGTTTCTACCAAAATATTTTTGTTGATATGGCTTGTTAATTACTTTATCAATCGGCATGATTAATTTTCATTTGCTTGAAATAGTACGTGATAGTACAAACATAATTTGAGTTTCTTAACGAAAAGTAAAATAGTGATGACTTGGATGCAAGAGTTCAGCAAATTCTATTCAATTAATACCTTGCAAGTTTTTTCTTCTTGTATCCCCCCACCCCCATCCCCCCAAAAAAAACCCCCCAAACAAATTTAGAAAAAAACCCCAGCAACCAACAACTGACAAAATCAGAAATAGTTTTTATTTGGTCATCAGAGGCATGTATAACAACCTGGAAATAGGTAGCAGCAGCGAACAAAAGTTCTGTCCTTAAGGTTTCGTCACTCAATATATTTGGTTATAATTACGATGACATTAACAGCTGCTTCATTTATAGAGCTTCTAGACAGAAAATGGCTGTGCTTTTTTAAAGAATGACATTTATGCTCACCCAAGTCTTCACGAAAAGAGAGAACTCATTCATTCTAAAACGGTTTGAGAACTGCCTCCACTCGCCTATAAAGATCAATGATTATTATGTCCTAGTCGTTACCTATCATGGTGGTATTTTGTAAAATTCCGAAATGAGACACTTATTTCTCGCAAAATGATGTGATAAAAGCGATTTTGCGGCTGTTGAGAGTTGTTACGAGATGTTCTTATGAGAAACAGCTATGCATTATGTATATTTGCTCTCAGATTATTTCAGCAGCAATGATGAAAAAAAGATGCAAAAACGTAAAAAAACAACAAAAAAAACAACCCCAAAACAAAACAAAACAAAAACCATCCGAAAAACCCAACAAACCCAACAAAAAAACCCAAACCAGACAAAAATAATTTATTTCAAAAATAGAATAATAGATTAAACCACTCTCACACAACTTGTGATTTCTTTCCTCTCATAAGCCAAAAAGTGAAAATGTCCAAAATAAGCAGGCAGAGTAAAAGGTTGCCATCCCTTATAAATCAAATGGTAGAACAGGGGAATGTTTCTTAAAATAGGTAAAGTGGTTCTTCGTTTGTGATACGCCCCTCATCCCGCCTCCCCCCCCCCCAAAAAAAAGAATATAATTGATACGTTTCCATATTATACACAACGAAAATCTTCTCGCAGGTGAAGAGCATCACCAGTCTACCCATCACCAGAATCTGAGAAAATTATCCAGGAAAGACAAAAGAAATATTTTGGACCTGATCAGATGTACTTCCCAATTTTAGATAATCTCATATTGATTTCTGATCTCACTGCTTCGTATTGCTCTGAGGCAATAGGTAGCCTATAGAATATTAAAACATTGAAACAAAGAAACACACAAACAACCCCCTCCACCCCCCAAAAACAACAACAACAACAACAACAACAACAACAACAACAAACCGACCCCCCCAAAAACAAACAAACAAACAAACAAAAACCAAAAAACAACCAACAACAACAACCAAACACCCTGAACAAAATAACCATACCACAATGCAAAAAATACGATTTATTTATCAGCATTTGTTTTGTCTCAGCAGTGGCTTTCTTCTTGAGCCCTCCGAGCCAAGCGGCCCGGGTTCGAAGAGTGGTCGGGGGCCGGGAACTGGCGGCAGGGGCGTGGCCATGGTTGGTGTCTCTCAACTACAAGGAACATCACGTGTACTTGGAGCTCCAGGGGCTGCGCCACCTCTGCGGGGGCACACTCGTGCATCCACAGTGGGTGCTCACAGCTGCTCATTGCGTTCAGTGAGTAGGATAGAATCCTAATCGTCTTGTTTTACAAGTAAAGAGAGAAGAGAGAATACCCCCCCCCACCAAAAATTAAAAATAAGAACAACAAAAGAGCACAACACTCCCCTCCAGCCCCCCTAAAACCCCCTCCCCCCAAACAAACGAACAAAAACAAAAATAACAACAACAACAACAACTAAGCAGCCCCCCCCCCAATATAAACCAACTGAAAAACAAAAAAACCCAACCAAAAAGGAAAAATCCGCCGGTCTGTTTCGCTAAATATTATTATAGAGAGACGATAACGGTGACGAACGTTGTTATTATTATTACTATTACTATTACTATTACATTCCCACATCAATAAAAATAATAAAAAATGGCACTATTATTAAAAGATTAGCATCAGGATAATCATCAATGGGATCAATGATGATGAGAAACAGAAGTATCATATTAGTAAAGAATATTTATTGGGAAATTATTTTTATATCTATAGGATAACAGTAATAATTGTTGCCACTATTATTCAATAGCTGTTTGAGCCCCAGACCCGACGTTGTGTCCTTTGGAAAGGCACTTAACACAAATTTTCCTCACTTCACCCAGGCTTGAATGGGTACCCGGCTCTTTACAGCGAAATATCTTGTCAGTATGATAGTGTTTTAGCGCCTGTAAAATGGCAGCTTGCACTGTATGTTTCCCAAGGAGTTGAGATTGTTTCAGAATGCTATCAGGTTTGCTAGGGTAGAAGTATATATTGTAATGCGCATAGAGCTTGCCGTTGAGCGGGAATTTGCCCTACATAAATGCTATCTATCTATCTATCTACGGGGGCTTTCCCATGGAAAACCGAAATTTGGCTGTAATTTGAAAACTATTCAATATTGTCACATTCTGTAAACGCACACTTGTAATATAATCATTTAAGAGTTTCCCGATTGAGCACCATGAGCATCGCACAAACCAAACGAACACAGTAGTTTTCCAAAGATGGCTACCCCCTTTGAAAATTGGTTAAGGGTAGAAGTGAGGTCTGTCATTCGGTTTCTGACCGCAAAAGGTCTCAACCCTATAGATATACACACTGAAATAAAGTCAGTTTACGAAGAGAAAGTAATGGCAAAGTCACAGGTATATGAGTGGTGTAGTAAGTTCAAAGCCGGGCATACGGATGTCAATGACAAAGTTCACCCAGGACCTTGTTTTTCTGCCAAGACTGGGGGGCAACACGAGTCGCGTTAACGAACTCATTCAAACAGACAGGCGCCTAAAAATTCGCGATATTTCCGAGTCGCTAAACATTTCAAAGTCGACTGTCCATTGGATAGTGTTTGAAGAGCTGCACTATCGAAAGGTCTCTGCTCGATGGGTCCCAAAAGAGCTGACAGCTGACCACAAGACGCAACGTGTTGAAGTGTCTCAGATTTTATTGAATCGTTGTCGCCAAGCTGTCACGGGAGTCATGAACGCATTTGGAGACCTCCAACAATACGATGAGGCATTTCTGAGAAGCATTCTTACAGGTGATGAGACCTGGATACACCACATGACCCCTGAGACGAAGAAGGATTCAATGGTTTGGAAGCACACGTCTTCACCTCCCCCGAAAAAGTTCAGCCATCGGTGAAGAAACTCATGGCCTCGGTTTTCTAGGATGCAAAGGGTGTTCTGCTTCTTGGCATTCTGGAACCAGGACAAACTGATAATGCTAACAGATACTGCCAGACTCTTGATAAGTTGAGAGAGGTTGTGCGCCGGAAAAGACCAGGCCGGTTGTCAAGCAGGGTTATTTTGCAGCATGACAACGCAACGCCACACACCGCAAACGCTACGAAAGACTGGACCTAGAGGTTCGGCTGAGAAGTTCTGCCACCCCCCCCCCCACACACCTCACAGTCCTGACTTGGCCCCGCCAGATTATCACTTTTTTGGACCAATGAAACACCACATTTCTGGACAGCGATTCACCGACGACGAAGACCTCGTGGAAGCCGTGAAAGATTGGTTGACATCCCTTGACGAAAATTCTCCAGGGAGGGTATCTTCTCCCTGATCCAACGATGGGGAAAATATGTGTCCAGCAGGATGGTGATTGCATTGAGAAATAAAGCACATGTTGAGGTATGATGTGTTACATTTTTATTATAATAGGACACACATTTTTGCTTTCATGGTTTTCCGTGGGACAGCCCTCGTATATATCTATCTATCCATCATCATCATCATCATCATCATCATCATCATCATCATCATCATCATCATCA